CTATAGGTCAGACTGGAAGTTGAAGAAACCTCCTGGAGGAAGGCAGTGGTAATCCTCTTCTGAACTGCTGCCAAGAAAGCTACACAGATGTGGCTACTAGAAGAGAAGCTGAACTGGAAGGAGACACTCTTTAACTTGCATTAAAAGCCAGTGTGGTGTAGAAGTGGGCTAGGACCTGGAGGACCTAGGTTCAGTTCACCCTGAACTATGGAATTCCACTCTTTCTCAGTCAACCTACCTCAGGGGTGTTGTGGAGATAAAATAGATAGAGATCCCTAGGTAAGCATCATGATATCAAGGAATGTAAAGAAAGACAAGCTTTTTTTCTGTCACTCTCATAATAACAGAGTCTGGGTTTCTTATTGTTGCAGGTGTATCCACAGGGAGGGGAGGTCCCAAAAGTCAAGATGACAACCTTGACCATGCAATCAAACCCCCTCCCTATTCTAATATGCATTGTGATATGCGTAAAACAGGGCAGAGTTTTAATCATATGGTTGTGGCTGCCATCTTGAATTTTTAAACCACCCCTCCCTGTGGATATCCTTGCAGCAATAAGAAACCCAGGACAGATAAAAGAGAGGGAATCTCTAGGCCACCTGCATTTCTCTTTTCCAAGCCTTCCCAAATGCAAAAGACAGCTTTCGTCTGTGCCATTGAAAAAGATCTCTACGCAGGCATCTCTCTCTTTGGGCCTCATTCACCTCCTTTGCACACTGAACCATGCTGGGGATGGCACCCATGTGATGGGGCCATGCTGGCATTTCCCATGTCCTTTGATAGGACTGGACGCTAGAAGCTCCATGAAAAAGATGTTAAACCTCTTGGGGAAAGGGATAGACAAACATGTTTGCAGGCAGAAGGCCGGGCAGGGCAAGGTTCCTTTCAGGGGACCACCAACTACCTCCATGGGCTGCTGAACCACAGCAGGAACTTCCTGACAAAGCTGATTCAAGGAATAAAAGAATACTCTTTGTGAAAATGATAGAGGAGGGAGGGACAAATCACATTTCAGATGGGACCTCTTTGGCATTATAAAAACTGCCAAGAAACAATACATTGTCCTGGTAGATTAACACTGGTGTATGGAAGCCCCCCCCCCCCCCATTCTTCCCACAGTCTTTAGTTAAGCTATAAAAAATCACTACCACAAGAGATGGGGGCAGCCACCAACTCATATGGCTTTTAAAGGGGACTAGACAAAAGTTATCTTCATCAGGCTATGATGGCTATCGAACAGGATGGCTACATGTAACTTTGAGGATCAAAGGCAGCAGGAATCTGAATGCTAGCTGCTGGGAAAGGTATGGGAAACAGGATCCTGGACTAGGTAGACTTCTCTTCAGATCAGGCAGGGCTTTTCTTCTGTTCTGGAAGAAAATAAAATAAATTCCCCATTGGATACTTCCTTAGTCAAATCATCAGCTCAGCTAGTTCAACATTTGGTATCTTGTATAGCAGGAGCTCTCCAGACTTCCAGCCAGAAACCTCTCCATGGCTGATGCCAAGGATTGAAGATGAGGCCCTTTGTATGCAGAAACAGGGGTATCAACTGAGCTGCAGCCCTTTCGCTGATTTAAAATTTAAAATTTAAAATATTAAAATAAAATAATATTTAAAATAGAACATATACAGCTTTGAAAATGGGTGATCTTGGATGGAGGAGGAGTGAAAGATGCAATGGGTACTCATCTCTTCCCATGCCTGTGATTTCTCTCCTGCAAATTCTATATCCAAAACAACTTTTCCCTTTGGAATTCATACTTTGCACTGAATCCAGTAAGGCGAGCAAGTCTGCCAAGGGAAAGCTAAGCCCTCACAGTGGCCACCTCTGCCTCATCAACCCTCCCCCCCCAAATGCCTTAGAAAAATGAGCAGAAGAGGGAAATCATCATACAATATGCTTTAAAAAATTATATGTTGGGAGGCATATATCTCATATATGGGCTGATGGGCAGTTTCAAAGCTCCCTCCTCTTGGCTCTCTGAAGTTTCCAGATTTTCCATCCTTCTTGATCCCAAGCCTTTACAAGACATATTTAAATCAAGCCAAAATGTTTCAAGCACTATAATAATGGGCATATTGATATCTTGAAGCTGTGTATGTGTGTGCCTGTGCCTTCAAGTCAGTGTTGACTCCTGGTGACTGCCTGGACTAATCTGCAGTTTTCTTGGCAAGGTTTCAGAAATGGTTTGCCCTTGCCTCCTTCCTAGGGCTGAGAGAAAGTGACTGGCCCAAGGCCACCCAGCTGGCTTCGTGCCTCAGGTGGGACTAGAATTCTCATAGTCTGTTGGTTTCTAGCCTAGTGCCTTAACCACCAAACCAGACTGGCGCTCATATCGAAACTGACTAATAGCTGAAAACATACTGGTGTTTCCTTCCCAAGCACGTATGTTTGCTGACATATATTTGTGCATATATTTGCTTAGTGGTCTGGGGAAAGAAAAAAAAAACAATCGTGGCCACTATGAAGTTGGTGATAGCGTCATCCATGGGCCAGTGGGGTATCAAAATCTGCAAGATGGAGGGCCATGATCCAAGCCCCACCCTTTCAATCCATGAGTTGCATGCACCTACAAAGGAGTGGGCCTTGATCATGAGGCAGCATCTGCCATGTTACAGTTCTTGACCCCTGCAGATATCCCTGGGTGGTGATGAGAAAAGCATTTAAATCAGTGTTGTCCAAACTTGGCCACTTTAAGATGAGTGGACTTCAACTCCCAGAATTGCCCAGCCAGCATGGCTGGCTGGGGAA